TTTTGGTTAATTAGAGTTAATTTTGAAAAATGTGGTATAATTAATTGTTAGTGGGATTTTAAAAATGTATTAAAATAATATTTAAAATAAAATGATTAAAATTGATTTGATGTAAAGTATGAAATAAATGATTGAAAATGATAGATAGTTAAAATTGTGTGAGTGGGTGAATAGTGAATTAAAGTTGATGTAATGTGTAAGAATGATTAGTTGGTATTATTTAATTATATGAATAATATTAAAGATAGTGGAGTTGAGTTAAAGTTGAGTAAGATTTTGAGTATGAATTAAATGTTATCGAAATAATTGATAAAAAAGCATGCCCACTTTAGAAACTACACTCCGTGCAACACTCGTGCATACATGAATGTTTGACCAAAAAAATCTTATACTTAGAAAAAAAACATTAATTAAAGTTTTAAATGATTTTTAAAAAAATACATTATTATTAATATTTAAAATGATACTCATTGGCTTATTACTCCTAAATTAAAATATTTTATTAATTTGCATTATATAATTGACTTAATAGATATATTTATTTCATTGATAAATAATAATATTACTACATTTAAATAATATTAATAAATAATTGAATTTTTAAATAAATATATTTAATTATATATGCAATATAAATATCAAATCAAAACTCGATTATTAGTTAGATATACTTTTAAATATATTAATTAGAATTAGTCATGTAGTGTTTTACTAATAGTCTTGGATATATAACTATTAAGTCCAAATTTATATATAGTACTCATGATCATAATAAATTGACACCTAGAATTAGGAAACACCAAATATGACATCTTACAATATAAAATACATATGTATATTATTTCAAATTCAAATGTTTTATTTTAAAATATAAGATAATCAACATACGATATTTTATCATATAAATACATATTTTATAAGCAAATATGATCGAGTATAAACAAGATAAGATATTTTATTATATAATATATTTATAAGAAAATATGAATCAACTACATGTCGTCAACCTAACAATAATTGACACTATTTGGCTATTGGGTGGAACCAGAATGTAATAGCTAATTTAACTAGCATATTATATTAACTATTTGTGAATAATTATTTAGTAAATAGCACATTGTATATATATATATATATTTAAAATTTTATATTAACATGTTATTATATGAATCATCTTTTCTCAAAACTTTTTAGGTAAAGAAAAGCTAATTAATTAAGTTCTTTATCAAACACTTTAGTTATAAAATTTTACGGGTTAAACATTTGAATGAGATTCAATCCGTTAACCGTCTCCAGAAATTTAGAGGCCCCAGACAAATTTTTTTTTTTTGAACTTTTTATTTTGACTTTGCGTGGTAATTAGGGTTATTTGCAGATAAAATCATAGCAGAAAAAACTTAATTAAACAAGACTATTAAATAAATAAATAATTGAAACAAAATAAATTTTCTTGTTTATCTAGATCTTGGAACAGATAAATTACTTTTAGGTTACAAATATCTTTAATAAATTATCATTATCCCTCACAAAGTACATATATTATCATTAGCCCTTTTATTTGTGTAACTAGTGTGTACCCCGTGCGATGCACGGGAACAATATTAAATTAACAATATTATAAATAGATCTCGAGTTTGAGTCACTGACGGAAGTGGAAACTATTATTGATCCTATTTAAAAAGAGAAAAAAAAATAATTATAAAGTAAAGAGGAGGATAAACAATACTTAATAATTATAAATTAAAGATTCGGGGCCCAAACAATGTAAAACTATTTTGTATAAGAAAATATGAAATTTACATTATTTTGTATAAGAGAATATAAAATTCGCATGTTTAATATTAAAAACACTTAAAATATTATATTAGTCTATATGTAAAAGTATTCAAAATTTTCTATATTATTTTTGAAAGATGTGAAGTCATCTGCAACTTTTCTAAACAATTTTAGAAGGAAAACATATCTAAGAACATTTGAATTTAACATTGTGTAAAAAAGATTTTTCTAGACTATTTTGTAAAGAAAATATGTCTATATTTAAATTTATTATGTGTATATGTACATATATATATATATATGCGTATGTTTTGTATAGTTTTTTAGAGATAATAATTCAACACGTGTATTTGTTTTAGGAAAGGAATAACAAACTTAATATCAGTTTTGAATGATAAGGTGTATGAAATATCTTCTCCTTATAATAAGATTTTATTTTTAATCTTAAAATTATCGCAGATATCTTCTCTTTCTAGTACGATTTTTTTTCTTCAATTTATGGTTAAAAAAATATGTTTAAAAGGGTTACCATAAAAAAATATGTGATAAGGATACTTCTGTGAAATGGGATATGCGACGTGGGCAAATGAGATTATTTCGTTACCATAAAAAATTATGTGATAAGACGGCATGCGCTATTAATGAGACGTGTGAATTGGAGTTATATCATAATAATTAAATCGGTATAATTAATGAGTTTAAAAGGCGTGTGAAAATGACATAAATGTTGAGCGTGTGAAATGAACATAAGAGTTACCGATTTTGGAAAGTAATAAATGGAAAACTGACTTTGACCATTAATTAAGTTACTAATTTTGATAAATGTTAATTCTTATTATATAAGTATAGATAGGCCATGTTCATATTTAGCCATTAATCCTTTATTTTTGTAAATAGACCAAGCCCAACACAAATGCATAATATTAAAAAAAAAAAAAAAAAAATCGAGGCCCCAAATAAATGGAGGCCTTGCCTCTCAAAGGAGCCGGCTATGCCGTTAATTTAGGCGAATTCACTAATATTCAAACAAAGTTTTAGATGTTTTTTTGAGGGTTTGTTATACCATAAAAGTAGGAAAAAATATATAGATTTTGAGATATGTTAGATTTGACGGGGCTTGGTCACTGTATTTAAATTTTGATTGAAAGAAGGGAACATGATTAGATATTTATTTGACTCGTTTGTAAATTTTTGGTGATTTCGAGAAGTAATAGCTTTGTAGGCTTTTAGATATAAGATATGGAAGTCTACTCAACTTAAATTTGTTCGAGCCCATGACAAAGGATTTTGCATATGCTATTATGCTTTTACCTTTTTAACGTTTAGGCGTTGAAGTCCATTTCATAGTATCTTGCATGACTCAAATATAAACAGGCTGTGCCTGTTTATAAATTTTTTTGGTTATGAATATTTTTTTTATAATCATAGTTAATTTTAAAAAAAGTAGTTGTATTTGAGTGGAATTTTGAATTTTTATTAAAATAATATTTAAAATAAAATAAATAAAATTGATTTAATGTAAAAGTAGGAGAGATGATTGGAATTGAATGGACAATCAAAATTATGTGAGTGAATTAATAAAAAAATTAAAGTCGATGTAATGTGTAAAGATGATATTGATATATTTAATTATTTAATAATATTGATAATAGTGAGACTAAATTAATTTTGAGTTGATATTGAATCTTTTTATTGTATTTTTTTAACAATCACGTCCTTAGGGTGTGATTGGATATGGATTTGATAAAAAAAATAATCATTTTTAACTTGGTCATTTTTTATAACTCAACTTTTAACTCAATCCACTATCATAAATATTATCAATATAATTTGTAATATCTATCAACTATTATTACAAATCACATCAACTTTAATTTACTTTTTATCTAGTCGCACAATTTTAATTTATCATCAATTCACCTCATCTCTTCCTACTATTACATCAATCAACTTTAATTATTTTATTTAAAATATTATTTAAATATAAACTCAAAATCTCACTAACTAATCATATCATATTTTTTCAAAATTAACTATGATTAATAAAAAAATCAATCAAAACCAAATCAAATACATATTCAATCACAGCACACCCTTAGTTACCAAGAGCTTGTACTCTACTATTATGTTTTATTTAAGGACGTGCTTTTTTTTAAAAAACAAAAATAACCTGTTATTGTCGATGTCCAACCTCTGTTCAGTTTGGTTTTGAACGGGAATGAAGTTGTTTTGACAAAGATTAAGAGATGTGGGCTACGAGAAATATTCTGCTAAAGGCCCATTAGCAATTTTCTTTTCGTGGACTGGACCAGGAAGCCAACAACTTGATGTTCTTTTTGTTGGGTTACTTGGAGGTTATTATATGGACTGGACTTCTAATATTTACAATTATAAATCATTTTTATTTAAAAAATAATACTATACGATAAGTTCTTAAAAGATATTGGAAAACTTACTACTTTTTCTTGACAATTTTGTTGATTTTTTTTAGCTCATCACATAATTTCTACAATAGAATAAAACCACCAACAATCTCAATTTAAAATAAAAAAAGTATTGGGTTATGTAACTAATAAACGAAACGAGTTGCTATTATGCTCGGTCCGACTCGCTCGTTGAAGCTCGAGCTAAACTCCACGAGCCGAGCCGATTTGAATCATTAAAGTTTGAGAACGTGAATTTTTACATAATATTTTAATTTTTACTTTAACTCGATTCGTCAATAACTTAATATTAACAAACCCAGTTCAAAATCATTTCGATAATGAGTCAAGTTTGAATTGACTCAGTTATACGTCAAAAGTCAAATAGAATAAAATGACAACATAAAAAAAAGTGCATAGATAAGTAAATAACTGTAGTTATATTAGCAACACAAACATAAAATAATAATAATAATAATAATAATAATAATAATAATAATAATAATAATAATAATAATTGGTACTACCTCCTATTCTTTTTAAATGTCATTTTGCCTTTATCAACTATTAACCAAAATAAATGTCGTTTTGGATCTTTTGTACATATTTTTCTATTATTACTCTTATTTAGTTAATAAATACACTAAGTCTTTTCATATTTTTTTTTTTTTTTAAACATCCATCTCTATCTTCATTAATGAAGGTTATTATTGACAAAAAATTATTTTTAATTAGTATGCAACTTCTCAAAACAACACTTATTAGAATAGGAGGGAGTACCAATTTACTCTCCCCGGTCAAAAACGTTACTCTGCAATTTAGCACTCTTCATTCTCCACTCGATTTTGCATCACTACGCATTCAACACAAAATTTCACCGAGAAATCGATTGACCCATTAATCGAGCTTCGCGAATGGAGGACGAAAAGTTGGCTGCGTACTACGACGACCTGACGCGCCGCGGCGGCGGCGCCGCCCGATTCAAGCAGGGCCTCGGCTTCTCCTCCGGCGACCCCCCCGCAAGCGACTCTGTCCCGTCCAGAGGCTCCGCCCTCCCCTCCGCCGCGTCCTTTCTGAGTGGCTTCGTCCGAGCGTCCAGCCCTTCCAAAACCTCCGAATTCGAAAAGCAAGCCCAGCTTCAATCCATCCAGAACAAGCTCAGCAAAAAACCTAGGGAAAAGGCACGGAGCCGCAGCCCGAGCCGTAATTCAAGTCGGCGGAGCCGGAGCTCGAGCCGAGATAGGGTAAGAGATAAGCATTCGAGGCGCCGTAGCCGGAGCCGGAGCAGAGATAGACATTCCAGGCGCAGGAGTCGGAGCAGGAGCCGTGATAGGCGGTCCAGGAGGAGGAGCAGGAGCCATGAGGATGAAGGGAGGCGTAAACGTCGGTCTAGAAGTCGCAGTAGAGAGAAGAATAGAGAGAGAAGTAAACGGGAGGTTAGGGGTAGTGGTGGAATTGATTATGCTAAATCGATTGAAGGTTATAATAATATGGTGAGTTCTTTTTGTTGAAATTTGGAAGCGTTTGCAGGACTATTCTTCAAGATTGAATCTTTGGTTTTTGTTGATGCCTGTATATTTTGGGTTTTGAATTTCTTGTGAAGGCATTTGAGCTTATTGACTGTATTGGGATGTGAAGACCTGTCGGGATTTGATGCTATGCACTTACATTGGTATTAAGTTAATTAATATCGTGAAGAACATTTGGGGCATGCTGGGATGAGTTTGTGTTTCGCAAAGTAAATTCAGAGTGTAGTTTCGGCATTGATAGTGTGTAGCAAAAAAAAAATAAAAAATAAAAAAAGAGCTTTTGTCACCATTGACTGAGAAATTGTTGTCCTTGACGTTCCTGTTGTTGATTTGTGTTTTTTTTCTCTCAGTGTGGTAATGGTTAGACCTGCAATCTGTGTGCTTTTCTAATTATCTTCTGTGAGATGCATTTTGAATTTTTTATTATCGTTTTCTCAGTGAGCTTTGATGCCATTTTCCAGTTTGAATGAGTCTCCTGAAAGCTTGTGTCTTTTATGGAAACATTTCTTAGCAGCTGAACTGATATTAGCATAGGTTTTCTGTCTTCATCACAGTGGATCATAATCTCAAGAATGTCTTATCTTTGGGGCTAATCTTCTAAATTTTCATGTATTTCTATCTAAGGTGATAAATGTCTGAAGTCTTGATGCCATGAATTTCTCAAGTCTCCTTGCTTTAACTGTCTGGCTCTAGCCATTCTTGATTATTGTGGTAATTCTGGTTTTATTTTTCATAGACGCCGGCTGAAAGAGTCAAAGCCAAGATGAAGCTTCAGCTCTCAAAAACTGGTAATATATCTGATGTGAATTCCTTAGTGCCTAGATAACTAATGCTTTTCTTATTGTTGTTTAGCTAAGTTCTGTGAAGTTTTTCATTTTTTTGGAAAAAAAGAAAAGAAGAAGTGGGCATATGCTACTTTGCTATACAGCTTTATTATGATTTGTTTATTGAGCACTTAACATTCAGCAAAATAATCGTCATGGAAGGTTTTAGAACACCGCAGCAAGGAACTGTAGTCTGGAACAATGGTTCATGAATTTTGACATGTCTATGTTTGGAAAATAGCATTTGGACAAAAAGTAGCTGTTTGAACAATTGGCTTTTTTTACCTTTTCAATCCACTTAAAATGTTATTTTGGTGAGTTAGCATTTTCAATCAGTTTTTTTCTCCTAAACGGCCAAAAGAAAAATGCTGGTGGGAGGAGCGTTTGCACTTGGCATATGAAGGAAAAAGCTGAGAAATCTTAATTGCCTTGTGTTAACTTTTTCATTACTATTACTTTAATAATAGCCTTGTTAAAATACCCCATTGTTTAACTTTTCGTTTACTCATTGTCACTTGGCTGTGTACGGTTACCGACATAATTTGTTGGTCACTAAATTATCTTCTTCCTTTTTTCTTTTCAAATGTTTTTTTCTTATTAGCACAGCTTTCAGTTTTGGTTTGATGTTCGAATGAAAAGCGCGAAGCACAATAAAAATAAACATTTTACTAAATAGTAAATATGTAAATGATTTATATTTTTAAATAATTATAATTATAACATAAAAGAAGATTTAAGTATGTATATTTCCTCGTAAGTAATTTCAAATGTAAACAACTAATGTAACTATCAACTTACCATACATTTTTTACAAATCATTGGTCAAATAGTTGATTGTCAAAACAGCTAATTCAATCCGTCAACCGCTAAGAACAGATTGCCAAACAAGCCCCCAGTCTTCACATTGTTGCTCCTCCATCTCTATCACTTGACGTTGTCTCAACTCACCTTCACATTTGACATTCATTTGCTATATTGTGGGCGTTTTTCTTAAAAATCATTTCCTTAGGTGGCATTACTAATAGACTAGTTATTGGAGATTAATATTTTGTAATTAATTTGTTAGAAGCAATGTTTTTTGTAATCACTTTACGAACATGAGGTGGCAAGCTGCCACTGTACTGAGATTCACGGGGCTGTCCTCAAATATCAAAGTCATTTTTTTTTTCTTTTGGTTTCTTAATTTTTGGTCGGTACGATTTTTCCTTATCCAATTGATTAGATTAGCTCTTTCACCAGAATCCATCATGCTTAATGCATTCAATGACCTTATTTTTGTGTTTCTTATCTGTATTCTTTAACAGTAAGATAAATTCAACTTTGCAGCTGAAAAAGACGAAACAATTGGAAAAGGGTCCGGATGGGAGCGTTTTGACTTTGACAAGGATGCCCCTCTCGACGATGAAGAAGTCGAAGGTCGACATATTATTCCATTTCAAGTCATTATTGGAAATTAATTATCAATTGTGTTATATTTTTCTGCATTCTATTTGCAATGCTGTTGCTAATATGCATGAACCGGCCCTTTTGTTTCTCTATAAGAGTAATATGGTTTCTAAAAGAGAGTACGTGTTGCATGAAATTACGAAAAATACAATTTTGACAAAAATAAAATAAAAAAATTAGATAAATAATTTCTGTGACATACAAAGCACACTAACAAAGTTTATCACCTGTCAACAGCGGCTGAGGATGATGCTGTGTTAGTAAAAAACATGGGGCAGAGCTTTCGTTTTTCTGCTGTGGAGGTAATTTTAAACCTAACCTCATTTTGTTTGTTCACTTTTCTTTTTCTAATATTTAGGATTCTAATATGTTCTTCCATTTTACTCGGATATGTTCGAAGGCGAGGAGAGAGGAACAACTCAAGGCTGCCCATGATGAAGCCATGTTCGGAGGCTCCTCACATCCACTACCTGCACAAACATATGATCAAGAAGAAGGCCTCGAGAAAGAAAATACCGAAAGTACCCCCGTTAAAAGTCTTCTTAGCGAGCAGGTGAGTCGAAATGAATGTAGAGAGATTTCTGGCTGTTATCAAAAGTTAATATTTTTCCGCGAATCTTTGTTGATTTTGTCTCTGTAGGTTTTGACTATGCAACGAGGCTCTTGGCGTGATCGTGCCCGTAAATCATGAAGTCGATAAGAGCTTAAAAACCATGGTACTTTTTATTTTTTTATTTTATTATTTTTTTTTTCTCTTTCTGGTGGATAAATTGTGTTCAAATTTAATTGTAGACGACGAAAATAGGGGCTTTGAGGATTGTCTTAAGCTATGTAATGAGAAGTCCAAAGGTGCAGTGTGAAGAGTTATTAGATGAAGTGCATAATGAAGATGCCTATAAAGGACCTAAAAGAATGGATTTGTGAAAGCAATTTAATGTGGGTCTGTGGCATGTTTTATCAAAGGGCAATTTGGGAAAGGTATGTATGAACTCCTTTTTTCAGGAAAAAAAAAAAGGTTGAGTTATTTGTACTCATCAAGTACTCCAAGAATCAATATCTGGGTGTGATTGGCTAGTTTCTGCTCCATGATCTTAAGTTAGATAATGGTGTTTGGTAGAGAGAATTTTGACTAGTCAGATTTTATATTGGACTTATTTGGTACAAAAGTTTAAAATTAGATATTTTTTATTAAAAAACTGATTTTGTTGTGAAAGTCTTATATTCAACTTATTTGGTAAAAAGAGTTTTAAATTGCATTTTTTAATCCAAAAACTAATTTTTCTTGTGAAGAGATGATTAAAACATATTTATAAAATGCAGTTTTGTATTTATGTACTATTAATTAAATTTAATATTAATTAGTGATAGTTTAATTTTAGAAAAAAATCTAATTAACTATTAGATATTTTTTAATACAGCCTAAATTTTTTTTTAGTGATAAAAAACTTAAAAAATGATTGTCCCACAATTTTAAATCAATCATCGTTGTAACTAATAATATTTAACTATTTATAGTAAATTAATTATAAAGAAAAATATTATACAGTGTTATTAATTTCATTTTAATACATTCATATATCAACTATCCACTACTAGCCAAGATCAATGAATTTAGAAAAATAGTAAATCCATTAAAGACAACAAGACATTGACATTTTGCTATAGCAACACAATACAACATAAACCACAATGCACAATCCATCTATATTTTGCATAATAAAAGGAGACAAATTCACAAAATTACATATTTAATAACACACTTATAAATAAGCAGCACAAATTATTCTCGCTCACAAATAATGACTACAAGCTGATGACTACACTTGTACACACACACACGCACACATATATGTAAAGGACTGCTTCAAATTAAAATTTACTCTCATTGAGCTTTATATATCCCACATTGAAAGGCCTTATAAGCAATGCTGGTTCGACTCGTGTAAATCGACCAAGTTAGACCGTCTCACGTAGCTCGGTCGAATTCATTTCCAATGTGCATGTGAAGCCACTCGACTTGCGATCCACGAGTGTAGTCCATCGGTGTTTGAGGCCCATATAACATCCCACCAGCATCGAAAGCCTGTGCAGCAAGCTGCAAGAAAACATTTTTCGAGTTAGTTTAAGTTACTAAAATTACCCTCGAGATTTTACGATTTACCCCAAAAATCGGAATATTCAACTTTTTTCGAAAATACCACATGTTAAAGTGAATTTCCAGAAGATGACAGAGAAATGAACGGTCCAATGCTGTATAGCTTAAAGAACATAACAAGGACAACATGAGGTGGGAAAGTGACCAAGATCTTCTTCTTCTTTTCTTTTTTCTTTTTTTAATATATTAATTAAATTATAAAAAAANAAGGAAAATTTGAAACTAGGTATGAAATAGCGACATTTGCCAGAAACAAGGGAAGTAGGTTAGGTACATTACTCAAAATAAACATGAGATGGGTTTCCATGTATGACAAGACCTTCACAATTTCAAAGTAAGAAGCAACTTGCTCAAAAGCAGATAGTTGCCAAAAGCATCAAGATATCATGTTGTATTGTTGGATGCCCATTAGTACTAAAATGGCAAGAGCAAAAATTTACAACCATATCTTATGATTAATCTTTAAAGGAAGTGATCTTTTGTTCTGGTACAAGCATTAAGGTAGCAACAACATTTTTTTTATTTTATTTTTTGTGATATTTTGGAAAAAAAAGTTTGGTGCTTTGTTGCTGCAGTTTTAATGACCCCAGAAGGGCATCTACAGTTGGCATGCATATACTTACCAGATGTATACTGTTATCGAGAGATTTTTTATTTCCTAATCTTCGTAAGTTAAAATAATAACATATGATTGTATGATGCCTTTAGAAATGTCAAATACATATGCCAATTTGTGAAGAAAATTATAGTTCGAGTAAAGCAAGCAGCAAAAATGAAAAACGAAAAGTGCATGTTCAGGAAAAACCGAACTCGAAGCTTTATCTACTTATTTTTCTCATATATAATATCCAAATGACACACTGAAGCACAAATATCCATTGTGACCACAATTAGCTCTCATGTTGGGCACAGAATTACTTGCGGGCAAATACCATTCAGTTTATAAGTCTAAGATCTCTACATAACATAAAGTTCAACGATATGTTGGCAATTATCATAAGCCAAAAATGCGAGCCACTTAGATTACTATGTTCAAAGATGTTATTCCTGTTCGTTCAGTCATCTAGTACTTGTTTGGTATTGTCTATATGTAGAGGAAAAAGAATTAGATGCTAGAAAATAACCCACTGGTACATTCAAATTTTATTTTGAAGCCGAGAAAATGGGGGAAAAAAAGAAAGAAAATGATGAAGAAGAACAAGAACAAGAAAATTTAAACAGATTAACTATCTATGGGACTTACATCTTTCAGAGGAAACTCATCCATTGTGGGGTTCAGCCTTGCACTGGAGTTGACAGCTTCAAGCTTCATTGACAAAAACTGGACCAGCCATTTTTAAAGAAAGAACAGAGCCAAAAAGGTAAGCAATGTTGCTGGAAAGGTAGGAAAGATAAAAAGCAAACTATATGAGAAAAATTGTACCTCAACTTGGTGCTGTAGTGACTGTATGTAGTTAATTATTTCATCAAGAACAAGAGCTTTCCCAATAACCTAGAAAAGGAAAAGAAAAAAAGTTATAACTCCACCCTTTTATTTCCCAAATTTTAAAGACAACTATACCCAGAAGGGTAAAAGAAAGCTAAAACAAACACCTTGTTACATCCTGGAACCAAGTCCTGCAGAATTTTCATCCTCTCACTGATTTTCTCCCTTCGAGCCTTACAACGGAAATAAAATAACATCATCAAAAGCTCCATAAAACAAACAAACACGTAATAAAATCTCGGATGAAGGGCTCGAAAGTTACTCTTTCAGCAAGACTGTGGCTATCAGTAGCTTGGCCCCTTCTAGCCCTAACATGAATGTAGTCTTTAGGTGGCTCGGGCTTCTTGTTCACCTGAACGGGCCCTGGCTTTGTTTCCACCTCTGTTTTCATGCTGTCATTTTCGACCATGGTTCCAGATACCTTCGTTCGCTTTCCAATCGACACATTCTTATAGAGAGTAAACATAAATTCATAGTGTCATGAAA